TTATGTATTATTGTAGCCAACAAGACAAATTAAGTCATATATATGGATTTAATCATGATATCAGAATGATCCAGGTATCAAACTGTAGCTTTTAAAGCCAAGAATCTGAAAATATAATTAGGTCATTTTGACCAAATTTGACTTAATCCTCATTTTTGATGTGATGAGTCACATTTACCTTTGCATTATAACCATGTTATAAATGTTTTGATGTGATCTGTTGGACGAGCACTCGGTAAAGACTGGTTTATATTTCAAGTCACTCGTCTCACTCACCCTGCTGAGGGACAAAAAATTGCAGTAAAACTCCTGGCTGCAGCCGTTCGTAGTGCACAGGTGTGATTTCACCAGAGGGGAACACAATAATGTAGGAATGTAGGAAGTTTTTTTGTAAAGTGTAAGACAGTACACTATTTATAAGGCTCCCTTTGATGTAAATAATGCAGTGATACAGAACAATATTATATCTAAAATGTGTTTCCAGTACATTATTGTACTACAATCTAGTAACCTACTGTGAAATGTATATATAYATATCACTTTAGATGTAATATATACATTAACAGATTTGGCTCACTATTTGGCAAGAAACTGGACAGTTTTGTCTCTTTCTCATCCTTAATGCATAAGAAACATGTATTTATTTATAAAGTGTTTACAGATGAATAATATTTATCTATAAACTATTTATAGTTATATATTATTTATTAGTATTTATAAGGGGAGCCATATTGTAAAGTGGTACCCACTTTTCTTATCGGTGAAATTCGTTTTTTCCAAAGTCATTTTCAGGAAAAGTATTTTTACTTTTACTTCACACAGAAAAGGTTGTTTCTGAAAATCTTTCAGTCTGATACCTAGATGAAAAAGGTTTCAATGCTTGCTGCTGTCCTGTAAATGAACGGCTGAAACGCAACAAATGTTTTGGTTTCACTTCAAAACGATGTTGTGTGAATGGACATAAGGCCAAAGTAGATTAAAGTTTCAATATCTACATTTTCATAGCGGTGCATTCTGACTTCATACTCATGATCCTTCACACCACCTTCAGTTTCATGTTACAGTTCATGGAAATCTGTGGTTGTTTAAGAATAAGTTTTAAAGCCTGCAAGGGTGTATGCATCATAATGCAAACTTGATGGCAGCAAATAATGTGTTTGAATGAATTACTTTGATCCACTTTGTAAAACTGTAAGTAAATCTACTGCAGATTCTGCCATCTTCAAACTTCAGCCTTTAAAACATCCTAACAGTTCGTTTAACCCTTTACAGTGCCATCAGTTACACTGTTAAGAGGAATGTTGTTAAATGTCAGAATTAACCTCTGACTCTCCTTCATCCTGCTGCTGCTCCTGTCATCTGTAAAAAAAAAAGTTTAAAAAATGTATATACAGCGGCTAAAATAAGTATTGAACACGTCACCATTTTTCTCAGTAAATATATTACTAGAGGTGCTAACGACAGGAAATTTTCA